GCTTAAATTAGACTTATCCAGATGCTGTAATTTCCACGAGAAAGAGAAAATATATGATTGTAAGCTATATAATACCGACTAGAGTACAGTGAATGCATTTGAAGGCTATGTGGCTGTGTGGTTTCTGTTTATATGATTCCTTTTCTTCAGGATATCGTTTATCTGCAGGCTTGTGTGGTGAATATCCGCCATGACGTCTAAAAAATTGCAAGTTTAGTTCCGAGTTTTTGCCGGTTTTGTTTTCATTTTCAACTGAATGTTGCTTTTTCTTGTGTAACTCGGGTTTTGATCCGTCGGATTTGCGTGAACCAGAATAATCGTGCTGTTCTGGAGCTCCGTGCTTTCCTCGCTCATCTCGATCGTCACTCTCGTAGTCGTTGCTGTCGCCACTGTCGCTGCCTTTACCCGCATATCTATGTGGATGACGGTTGTATTTATCATCTCGACTTTCACTCCCATAGCCGTTACTGTCGCTGGAGTCACTGTCGCTGCCTTTATCTGAATGTTCATATGGACGACGGTTGTATTTGTTTCGTTTCTCTTCCAACTCTGAATCAGCCTCTTTATGCTTTTGTAATTCATGAGCTCGATTCTCTTCGTTTCGCTCGTATTTCTTGCCGTACGAGTCTTCATAGAGAGCGTTCAATTTACCTTCTTTCGTGTGCGAGTCTTCATCGTCAACGTTCCGACTTATAGTGTGCTTAAGGTAGTGATCCCCTCCTTGGTTATGAGCACGCTGGTAAGGATTGGCATCAATCGTCGAAAACACATACGCCCATACGAATGCCACCAACGATAACATGTAAACTACTTGCTTTGCCATCTCTGTTTGTATAGGTCGATTCGAACGATGAGAAGTACGTTCCCTTTATGAAAGCTGAGTATTTATACTCTTTCTTTTCCATGATTATCAGACACGAGTACCAAATCAAAAGAAAATAAATAAGAACGCATGTTGAATAGACGTTGAATCAATTTTGCAATACACTCGAAGCAACATGTGTATTTCATCACATTGCACTTAGAATGATAATAATAAAAGATGGATTGGGTTCTACAAGCTTTTATAAGCAGAAGAGAAGTGAACAAAAATAAGCATTACAGCAGTACGCACTCATTCTTCGTAAAACTATAAAGTCGGTAGGCCGTACTTCTAGGAAAATGTTTTTTCGTATATCACATACAAGAAAAAGCACATGTTGAATCGGTAGTTCGCTTCCATGTTATCTCTTTTTGAGAACGAAATGGTGATACAAAAAGATCTCCTAAAAAGCTTTTGTATTATACCAAGACCCCAATCGTATACTGTCGTTCCCGTGCATGTGCCATTGTCTGTTATACTTCTAACTTAAAATAATTCTAAATACCATCATTTTCCAATGAGATATAATGCGTATGAACCGCCATCAACTAATTTTCGATTCAATATCTTTTAATGTGTTTTAGCAGTTTTCATTTGATACAAATTTATTATAAATAAATGTTGTTGTTTGAGTTGTTGAAGTGAAACATTCACGATGCCCGTTCTTGTGCCTGATCAAAACAATTGTTTCTTTTTTACTATACACTCTCTTAAATGATAATATCATGGGATAAGCTCATAAAGTTTTTCACTGATTATGCTTATTCGCTCAAAAATGTATTACGATATGGTGCCGAACAATAATTATAATTAGTCCGATCCTCAAGCACTTCTTGTATATCTTGATCATTTATGTTTCCAATGCTTGATGGGTCTAGTTACCAAATGTCTGGATTAATTTCATCATTCTTGATTGAAAAGAAATAATTTGATTTAAAATTACTATCACGTTCAAAATAAAATTAACCACAATATTTTTTGAACGGCTGTGTAACGAAAACAGATGACGGCTCACGACTGGCCCTGTTCGTTAGATAAGATTGATGAAATCTTTTCATTAGTAAATCGTACTTTCATATCCTCTTTTGACTTTTGAGTAAGATTTTAAATGGATCTTTGAGAAACTATTGTAGCCCTCTCAAAAAAGTAGCTGTAACGTGAGTTTTCTCATGAGCAGCGTTGCTGATGAAAAGGTTCCTTCTGTTGGACAGCGGAAATCATACTCGTAGAAAATAAATACAGATAGGGAAAAAAGGCGCCCTTAAGTTACTTAGATTAATTATTATATATTTGCTTCGAATGATTTCGAAATGTTTTATTGCATAATGTATTGTATTCACGTGTCTACCATATTCTGTCCTGAGTTTGTGTCTATTGTTGGTAAACAAAATTTAGATACATTTCTTCGGAGAAAAAACGATACAGATGTATGAACTGTGGTCTCCTCTAATGCAATCATGAAATCGACTAGATTTTTTATTTTTTCTGCCCTATTTGAACAGATGGATATTGGTCTGATGAATAGAATTAATGGCTAATCGTGATGCGCGGCCAACATCATGATGGTTCTCTTCTTCGAGATTAGAAAAGTTCTCACACCAATTTTCCTATTTCAACATTTACCAAGAGCAGCCAGTGGTTGCTGTATCGTTGGGCTCAAGAGAGAAAAGCCAGATTAACATGTTTCATACACGTACAGAAAAATTTAAAAATACTTTTTTCCCATGGGCTGTGCGACAATGGAATTCATCGTCAATCGAACTACATAACATATCAAAATTAAACAAGTTTCGAACAAAAATTCAAAATTTCTTTTTTCCGCATTATAAATGACGACGTTTCACGTACAGTAAGCATAAGTATGATTGTCTTCTCAGTCAAATGAGAGTTAATTTCTTTCCATTAAATTGTGATCTCTTCCAAAAAGGTTTGCGTACTTATCCGTTCTGTACTTGTGGAAAAGAGGAGTCGATCAAGCATTTTCTGTTGGATACCCACGCTACCAGCATCAACGAAATATATTTCTTTCTGACTGGTCATCTCTAGCTCCTACCCTTCCCTTGACACTTGCTGATTTACTCTATTTAAGCAATTTGAGAATCTGAATAACTCTAAAATTTGTAAACTACATCTTCTAGTTACCATCTGCATCAAAAATTCTGCACGTTTTGTAATCAAAAAAAGAATGTTCAGTACTGTCTCCTTTTCCTTGTACACTTATCTATTTTCTTTCTGTTTATTTATATTTATTCTTCTTTTTGTTACTGATATTTATTTATTTACTCTTCGTCTTTCTCTGTCTGCTGTATGAGTCAGACCTAATGTGTAGAAAAATACTGTTTATAGAGAGTTTTTCGATTAGTACTGTTTATCGACTAATGGAAAAAACTCTCCTATAAACAGTATTTCTCTACAAAAACCTCGTTCTAACCGCTCGAGAGAGTTATACACATCATCTTTAGTGCTTTACAACCAAAACTTTTTCTAAATAAGTTACGATTGTAACCCGCGAAAGTCTGATCAAAATGAGACATCTCTTAGTTCTATACCTGTTTATTTCGAAATTAATGAGAAACTTAGAAAGTTTCGGTTGAAAAGTGGATCAAAACATAATTTAACACACGCCATGTGGAAGAGTGATAAAAACCCTTCTAGTTTCTATAATTATATAATCTCATACGTATTCTGTTATAGGGAAAAATACGTTTGAAGCAGAGGGAAGTTGTAAGAACTTCTTTGGTGATGTTTGGTGTTGAACTTTTTTCTTCCACAAGGGCAGTTGCAAAAACTTTGTTTTCATGCTAGTTTTGAAGTTCAGATCTTGCTCTTTTCAATAAATAACTCTTCAGCACATAGAGAACATGCAGAAGTAGTGTTCGACATTTAATGCAAGACTTTTGCATCACTCGTTTTCATGTCTTTCTAGAAGCTCAATAGTCAAACAGTTTTGAGCCATAAAAAAATTAATTATAGAAAATCAATAAGTTGAACGTGTTGGTCTCATATGATCCATCTTTTGCATGTTGCCAATATATCAGTTCTTTTTCTACTCTTCTTTCATAATTTCTTGAAAACGTTGATGGGATGTAAGACTATGGCCCGTTTTTGCCTTTATTTTTTTTCTACAACACGGCATTCTCTTCGTAAACACTTACTTCAAATTGAAGTACCTAATTTTTCTACATCGGTCATGAGTCATAGCTTCTTAATTCGGATAATAAAAGATTGGAACAGCTTAGCGTCCGATGTTTTGACACTTTCTTCCTTCAATTTTTTTGTTTTAAAAATACAACAGTCCCTCTAGGAATTAGTAATTTGTATCTTTGTGTCTGTATAGGCGTCTATTAGTCTCTAGCTTTTGTCTATGCTCTCTCTATTTGCCATCGAGAATAAATAAATAAACAGCTATTGACGCGTTCGCCTATAATTTCCTACGCGTTGCAGAAACATCTGCAGAACTGCTATTGTTTTTTTCGATTTTCTTTCTCTACAAATGTGATATATCATAAACCTTCTTTTAGGGGACTCGGTAGAGATTAGCTATCTTTATCTGTTATTCTTACCCACTTAATCTTGCAGCACAAATTAGCTG